TTTTTTTTATCTATGATTACTCGTCTTAATGTTTCTCGCGTCTTTTCCATGATTTTGCACTTCTCTGCTAATTAAAGTAACTTCGGAATTTATGCCGCAGAAGTAAAAAAAATAAAAGGACAGAGAATAATTTGCACGCAATCACAATGTGCACAGATTCGACTCAGTTGCATTTAGGTACACAATAAATGGTTACATAAGATATGTACCTTACATCATAATACTTGTAAAATATGTAGAAGATTAAAATAATTACTATCTATTACTTCGTATATATGTATATATTTTATTCCCTAATAATTTTATTCCCTAATAAAACTTTGTAGATTTTGTAAGTTACTGTATCAGTTGATGTCTTATTTATAAGTATTATTTGTAAATTTTTTATAAGCCATATGCCCTATCCACGAATGGTCATATATCCCACTCCTATGGACATACAGTAAAATATGTAAGCGTTTTTTAAAGTTTTTCTTCAAATATAGAAAATAAATATTTCATGTTTCTAATTGTTATAGTAATAGACTGTATGAAGTTTTTGTGGGCATAGTTTATTTATCTTAAATACAGTAAATAATATCTACTTTATGAAATTAAGTTTATATATGTATTATAGGATAAATTCCAATATATGATACATATATATATGCATTATAGGATGCATATATATATATGTATGTATATATATATATATACAGGGTGTATCTGAAATAACGTACACTAATCATACCAGTGCTATTCCTAATAAAAAACTGAGTCGAAAAGTCCTCTACCACTTTGCAATTTTCGTAATAGTTAACAAGATATTAATTACTAAAAATCGCTGTGAATATTGGTTTTCAATAATTTTTTACTCAAATACTATCAACTTTACAGAAAAACTGCAACAGACAAAAATCATTTCTTTTCTTCTCATAAAACTCTAAGCATTTTTTCAGAATTTTTTATCAACTTTGTAGTACTGTATTTTCTTATTTTTACCAACATGAGAAAATACGGTATTAAAAAATTCTAAAAAAATTCTGAAAAATTTCTCATAACTTTGTGAGAAGAAAATAAACAATTTTTATCTCCAGAAGTTTTTTGTAAAGTTGATAGTATTTGAGTAAAAAATTATTGAAAACCAATATTCAGCGATCTTTTGTAATTAATATCTTGTTGACTATTTCGAAAATTGCAAAATGCTTTTCAACTCAGTTTTTTATTAAGAATAGCACTGTATAATTGTGTATGTTATTTTAGATATACCCCGTATATACAATATATTGTATATTGGAATATTTTTCCTATATAATACATATATAAATTTAATTTTATATAGAAATTCTAATATATATATATATATACACATATATATTTCACAAAATAAATGATTTATATATGTATACGTATTTTTCGGTGACGGTTATCTCAGTCGCGCGATTTATACCGAGAATTTTCTTATTGTTAGTAGCTAATCGAAAAAACCGACGTCAGTTTATGTGTTTCCAGTCATATCTATTTAAGCTTCTTTCTCGGCCAAAGGAGGCGTGATATGTACTAACGCTTCGATTATAACAAAGGAATTTAGAGAACAGAGATTCATTAGCTATTGACGGGAAAATTCGTGAATCGTTGTCGAGGCAAGTCGTCAAGAAAGTCATTAAAAGAATTACACTGTGCATGAATTATGATTAGTTATTTTAATGCCCTACAATATCGTAGAGATTTAGATTTCGCGCCCTATTCTCAAAACAATGCGCGAGCGCGATTGTTGACGTATTAGAGAACTAAGTGTTGGTTATCAGACCGATATCTATAAACACGACAGTGACATTGAGATGGCAACTATGATTTGTATCGCAAGTCGAGAGGGCTTCTGATTTTATACTATTATAATTAAACGATTAAAAGAAAGAAATTTTCATAATTAAAGAGAGACTTTGCGGGATCGGAAGTGAGACGAGTTCGAAAAGAACTTGGCTGTTCGATCATTGTATGAACAATTACCACGTTGTCATTTCTGAGTGACTATGGAAATAAAGAAAGAGAGTGAGAGAGAGAGAGAGAGAGAGAGAGAGAGAGAGAGAGAGATAAAGAAGCAGATTCAAAATGAGAGAGCTGAGCAATTACACCTTATCAGAATTAAGAGTGATACTGAAACATAGGAGACTTTCAACCACTGGATTGAAAAAAGACTTGATAAGACGATTGCAAGCAGACTAACAATATCCGTCCCAAATAATAAAGAAATCAAACGCTATATTAAATGAAAAAGGAAGAAAGAAAGCAACGGATGTCATAAAGGCGATTAAAATGGCAGCAATAAGATACTCTACCAATATGAGTATCATTCAGAGAGAGGCTGAATTGTATTGGAGAGAGACTAAATTAAATTGGAAAGAAAAAGAGTTTACTGAGCGGGAATTGGCATTGACTCAAAAAGAACTCAAGAAGATTCAGCAAGTCCAGATAAATACGGATGCTCGTACACAAGAGAGAAGTCGCAATTTACATAAGCCGTTGGAAGATGGACGTAGTGGTGCTGTCTCGTTACTCAGGCGGGATGAAGGTACCAAGCAACGAACGGAGCGTGATGGTGATCGAAGCGAACGTGAGAGAGCGAACGTAACAGCCAAAAACGTTGAGGCGTCGTTTTAATCGTGGTCAACGTGATCATTCAGAAGCTAACTGTCAGACGAAGTACAAAGATGCTAACAACAAGTACCATTTCAAGTATAGCGAGAGGGCATGTCCCCTTCGAATGGTACAAAAAAAAATGAAGAAATAAGGAATACTTATGCTAGAGAGAAGCCTGAAAGTGGCCGCTCTGGCCTTTTTCACAGAACCGTCCAAATTGAAACTCCCGCTGCACGGTACTGCGGTCGACGTGAATTTTATTTTCTCAATGTAAAATAGAATTAGGCTACATCCATTTTAAAACGCTGATGATAAAAGCATTCTGGTACGTAACTGTGCCACAAATAAAAAATAAGCATGTATATTTACATTATATATATATATATTTATGTTTATATAATTTTTCTTTGGTTATAGCTTAAAGTAGTGATGTTCAACCTGCGGCTTGTTTATGAATTTTTGTAGCCCATCGGCTCATAGTCAGAAATATAAAATCGTATTTTTTATTTTATGCAAACAAAATAAACACGAAATGCGATCCGCAATTTATTTTCTATTTCTAAAAATGGCTATTGAAAATGGTACTTAAAAAAATTGCGCATCACTGGCCTGAAGTATCAATTAATATTGATATTTATAATACGTATATATACATTCATTAGTGTGTGTATACGTTATATAATTTTTCATTTATACAAGTAGGTATATATAGCTCTTCTACCGAAAAAGAGATTTCTTTTTTTATAAACTTATAAAGTAATAGTATTAGAATAAAACGCTATGTTCCATTCTAGATATTATTTTAGAAATTGTAATAGTAAATTGTTAATTTTAGTATATAGCGTATAAAATCAATTTATTATTTACAAATACAATAAGCATTTTTATTCTCAATAAAAAAATCAAAAAGAAGATTCATGTATTTTGTGATCCATTTCAATATGAAAATAGCTTGGAAATACTTGCTCTGCTTAGAAAAGGAACGATCTGAGTATCCTGTATTCAGTGTAACGAAATAATTTGTAATGTATTTTTTTAGAGAAATCTCTCGAATTAATTATTTTTATGTCATTGCATATTATTTGATGATATCAATGGATTATTATTATAAAATAAGCAGTAAAGCTCAATATAATTTATAATTCGTGTTAGAATTTAAAAGAAAATACTGTACATAATTTTCATTAACAATAAGTGGAAATAAGCTTATTCGATCAAAGTTAATGTAAATATTTGTGCTTTTTAATAATACTTCTGTGTGAACGCGGTAAAAAATTTTTCATGCATGAATATGTATAAATATGTCTAAACATACACAAACACGTATAAATATTCATAAACATGTATAATTATTTGTGAAATATGTCCATACATATTCATACATCCCTTTTTCTTTTGTAAAATTACTTTTTAGTGTAATAGAAATAGTAATAGTAATGTGAAAACATTAAAAATAATTAAAGGGCTAATTTTCGCATTGTCCGTTCTAGAAAAAAACAAGTTTGGGAAAAATGAAAAAAATTGCTCCTACACAATTATACATAAGTAATTTTTTTTTACGTTTCTTCAAACTTGATTTTTTCTAAAACAAATAGTGCGAAAATTATCCTTTTTATTATTTTTAATGTTTTCACATTGCTATTATTATTTCTATTACACTAAAAAGTAATTTTACAAGAGAGAAAATGATGTACACATATATTTCATATAAAATTATGTATGTTTATGAATATTTATACATGTTTATGTATGTTTATACATAATTCATACATGATAAATTTTTTACCGGGAATTTATATACATTTTCCAATTCTGCAAAATTACGCTAATATTTTCGGTCTTGAAACAGTTTGAATCGAAATAGCAATAGTAATATCGCAAATTAGATATTGATGTCAATAAGCGTCTTTTTAAAATATTAACTAAATACTGTAACACGTTACGATGTTTTAAACAGATACTTAGCATTAATATTTAATTTGTAATTACTATACCAACTGCCTCAGACAAACCTGCATATATATAGCTGTGTAACTATGTACATAAAGAAAATTATTCAAGCGTATTTCTATTATAAGGACGTACATAAAATGTGATTGGATCATTTTTTTATGCAGTTATGCAAATTTGTCTGGATGAATCCTTACCAATCCTTAGTATTACGTCTATGAGTCATACGAATCAATTTTTGATATATCATAACTCCGATATTTACGCAGCGCGGGGATTTACGTCGCGAAATAAAAAAAAATAGAAGTAAGGATAACGCGCACGCAACCATTCTGTTATATCAGTATATTTTACCTTTGTCTTATATCAGTATATGTATCGTATCGTATAGTCATGCCGCGCAGCGCACGATAAACATTTCTGCGTTCGGTGCGCAAAAGTGATAATACACGAGTGCAATCAATCGTTATTATGATTATTGACGTATTAGCGTCATGAGTGCGAATCGACACAGTAAGTATCGCGAACGATATTAAATGATATATTCCAAACCGAGCAGATTTTTTTTCGATCGCATATTATTTTATAATTAAAGTAACAATGAAAGAAAAGAAATTTGTATAATTTTAGGACTTGTACAAGATTAGAAACGAGACAAGCTTGGTAAGAATTTTGGTGTTCGTTACAAGTGTGAACGATTGTTGTGTTTGAGTGACTAAAAGAAAAAACCGGCTACTCAAAATGAGCAGAAATATTACCGTGAAAGAATTACAGCAAAAACTGAGAAGTGAGAACCTTCCAGTTACTGGCTTGAAGAAAGAATTGATAGGACGATGGGTAACATACCTCAAGCACCAATATCCGTCCCAAATAATAAAGAAATCGAATAATACGAATGCTTGTACGCAAGAGAAAAGTAATTGCAATTTACATAAGCCATTGGAAGATCGACGTAGTGGTGGTGCTATCTCGGTACCTAGGCGGGATAAAGGTACTCGTACCAAGCAACGAACGGAGCGTTATCGTGATTGGAGCGAACGTGAGAGAGATCAGCCGAAAACGTTGAGGCGTCGTGGTCAACGTGATCATTCAGAAGTTAACTGTCAGACGAAGTACAAGGATGCTAATAATAAGTACCATTTCAAGTATAGCAAGAGGAGGCATATCTCCTCCGAATGGTACAAAAAAAATGAAGAAATAAGGAATACTTATGCTAGAGAGAAGCCTGAAAGTGACCGCTCTGGCCTTTTTCGCAGAACCGTCAAAATTGAAACTCCCGCACGGTACAATCGGTGCAATCGATGTGGATCTTATTTATCCAATGTAAAATAGAATTAGGCTACATCCATTTTAAAACGCTGATGATAAAAGCATTCTGGTACGTAACTGTGCCACAAATAAAAAATAAGCATGTATATTTACATTATATATATTTATATTTACACAATTTTTCTTTGGTTATAGCTTAAAGTAGTGATGTTCAACCTGCGGCTTGTTTATGAATTTTTGTGGCCCATCGGCTCATAGCCAGAGAGAAATATAAAATCGTATTTTTTATTTTATGCAGACGAAATAAACACGAAATGCGATCTGCAATTTTTTTTCTATTTCTAAAAATGGCCATTGAAAATTATACTTAAAAAAATTGCGCATCACTGGCCTGAAGTATCAACTAACATATTAATACGCATGTATACATACTTTCATTAGTATACGATATGTAATTTTTTATTCATACCGGTATACATATGTATATGTATGTATATAGCCCGGTAAAAAATTGATCATGTATGAATATGTATAATATACATAAACATGTACAAATATTCATAAACATACATAATTTTATATGAAATATGCCCATACATCCTCTTTTCTCTTGTAAAATTACTTTTTAGTGTAATAGAAATAACACTAGCAACGTGAAAACATTAAAAATAATTAAAAGGGTAATTTTCGCACTATTTGTTCCAGAAAAAAAATCAAGTTTGAAGGAATGTAAAAGAATTACTTATGTACAATTATATATAAAATTATGTATAATTGTGTAGGAGAAATCAGGATAAATCTTGACAAAAGAGGACCAAGCTCCGATAACCTTAACTTTTCATTTTTCCAAACTTGTTTTTCTCTAAAACGGGCAATGCGAAAATTATCCTTTTAATTATTTTTGATTATTTAATTATTTTATTATTTAATTATTTTTATTATTATTTAATTATTTTTAATTATTTTTGATGTTTTCACATTATTATTACTATTTCTATTACACTAAAAAGTAATTTTACAAAAGAAAAAGAGATGTATGAATATGGACATATTTCTCATATAATTATACATGTTATGAATATTTATACGTGTTTGTGCATGTTTAGATTGTATATTTATACATATTCATGCATAAAAAATTTTTTACCGGGAGCGTTTCTACAGAAAAAGAAATTTCTTTTTTAATAAACTTATGAAGTAATAATATTAGAATAAAACGCTATGTTCCATTCTAGATATTATTCTAGAAATTGTAATAGAGAATTGTTAATTTTGTATATAGCGTATAAAAATCAATTTATTATTTACAAATATAATAAGTATTTTTGTTCTGAATAAAAAAATAGAAAAGAAGATTCATGTATTTTGTGACCCATTTCAATATGAAAATAGCTTGTATCTTGCTCTGCTTAGAAAGGGAACGATCTGAGTATCCTGTATTCAGTGCAACGAAATAATTTGTAATGTATTTTTTTAGAGAAATCTCTCGAACTAATTATTTTTATGTCATTGCATATTATTTGATGATATTAATAGATTATTATTATAAAATAAGGAGCAGTAAAACTCAATGTAACCTGTAATTCATGTTAGAATTTAAAAGAAAATACTATTCATAATTTTCATTAACAATAAGTGGAAATAAGCTTATTCGATCAAAGTTAATGTAAATATTTGTGCTTTTTAATAATACTTCTGTGTGAATTTATATACATTTGCCAATTCTGCAAAACTACGCTAATATTTTCGGTCTTGAAACAGTTTTGAATCGAAACTGCAATAGTAATACCGCAAATTAGATGTCAATAATAACTTTTTAAAATATTAACTAAACACTGTAACATTTTACGGTGTTTTAAACGTATACTTATAGCATTAATATTTAATTTGTAATTACTATTCCAACTGCCTCAGACAAACTTGCATATATAACTGCGTAACTATGTACACAAAGAAAATTATCTAAGCGTATTTCTATTATAAGGACGTACGTAAAATGTGATTGGATCATTTTCTTTATGCGGTTATGCAAATTTGTTATCTGGGTGGATTCTTACCAATTCTTAGTATTACGTTTATGATTTCATACGAATCAATTTTTAATATGTGACAACTCCGGTATTTACGCCGTACGAGAATTTACGCGGGGATTTACGTCGCAAAATAAAAAAAATTGGAGTAAGGATAATGCGCACGCAATCACTTTGCTGTATCAGTATATTTTATCTTTGTGTTATATCAGTATATATCGTATCGTATAATCATGCCGCGCGGCGCACGATAAACATTTCTGCGTTCGATGCGCAAAAGTCATAACACACGAGTGCAATCAATCTTATTACGATTACTGACGTATTAGCGTCATGAGTGCGGATCGACAGAGATAAGTATCGCGAACGATATTAAATGATATATTCCGAATCGAGCAGATTTTTTTCCGATCGCATATTATTTTATAATTAAAGTAACGATGAAGGAAAAGAAATTTGTATAATTTTAGGACTTATACAAGATTAGAAACGAGACAAACTTGGTAAGAATTTTGGTGTTCGTTTCAAGTGTGAACGATTGTTGTGTTTGAGTGACTAAAAACCGGCTACTCAAAATGAGCAATTTTACCGTGAAAGAATTGAAGCAACAACTGAAAAGTAGGAATCTTCCAGTTACTGGCTTGAAAGCGGATTTGATAAATCGGTTGCAAATAAACTCGTCATATCAGTCTTATACAAACTCGTCTTATACAAGAGGATCAAAGAAGAGTGAATTATGGGATTTTACTGTATTAGAATTAAAGGAGCAATTGAGAGCTAGGAACCTTCCAGTCACTGGCATAAAGGCGGATTTGATAAATCGGTTGCAAGCAAACGTGCCGTATCAGTCCCAGACAAGCGGATTAAGAGTCACATTACATAGACAATTGCAAACAATGGGTACTGACAGCAACTGTATCATCACGGCTTACGAGAAACCTACGATAGACGGCAAATTCACACATACTAAAACGGTAGCGCACACCACAAATTCGACGAACTTTGCAACAAGAACCTTTACCGATGTAAATAAGATTCGATTTGAAGATACCAAAATAGTGGGTGCCGCAAAGGTAACTAACGCGGCAGCAAGAAATTCTACGGATATAAATTTGATTCGATTTGAAGACACCAACGTGACAGCAGGTGCCACAAAAGCAACAAACGCAACAGCAGGTAAGTCTAGAGACCCTTTAGGTAGAGATCGGCCAAAGTTCTGGCAAGTGGCAAGATGTGTGAAACTGCAATGTAAGCCCGGATCCTCATACGGGCAACAGCGCTCTGACACCGAAGACTAATTGGTGAAAAGCCGGTTGTGGGGTAAAATTTACCTCCATCACCCGTTTTTCATCAATCAGCATTCAGGATTCACTATTTGGCCATATCGCGGGCGCTCCAGCCTGCGGGAGCCGTACAGGATAAGAAGAAGATAAGAAGAAGCATTCAGTATCAAAGCGCTGCTATCCGTATGAGGATCTGGGCTAACTGAATCCAAGGCATTTCAGTAAAATTATTTAAAGTATCACTGCGCATGCTCTGACGCTCGACGCAGCTTGACGATCCCATGTAAAAGTACCTTAAGGGTGGAGTCCCGTGATTCACGAAGTGTATTTATTGCGTATTGCGTAACTGCAAATCAGTCAGAAACGATCCACTGTTGTTTCGTGTTTTATTGATTATTGATTGGTTAATCTAAGTCCATAACCTTACTTTAAGAAGCTGTAAGTTGTAAGCGACGATATATCGGCCACAGAACTTATGTTTTTAAGCCGTAAGAAATTAGATTTTGCTCAATTCGCTTAAGTCTAACGGTTAAAGCCTAAAGACTGCGCAAAAACAGTTTAAACACAGAAATTATTGTCACTTAACCTCTTTCGGCTTATGACTCAAACCGAACTCTTGCCTTTTTGGCAAGACCAAAAGGTAAGAAACAAACAGCAAGAAACAGGAAACAAAGAGCACATTGTAGAATGGCTATTAAGGCCTCTTAAAGCAAAGTTGTGAATCAAGGTTTACGCAATTACACGATACGTATAAAGCAAATACGCCTTATGGGATATATTTCACCCTAATGCGTCGTCTACAATGGCAGTATCAGTAATGTATGAGGCTGTAAGAGTAAGAAATTAACCAATCACAGTCGATTATCCTTCTTACATTCAACTGTGATTGGTCAATTTCTTACTCTTCTCATCCATTATTGATACTGCCATTGTAGACGACGCATAAGAAACTCTACTAACGTAAAAGTGGTTCGATTTGTAGAGGCCAAAACGGTAGCGAATGCCACAGATACAACGAACGCAGCAAGAAGCTCTACCAATATATTTGGATTATTTGAAGACACCAAAAAGATAGCAGGTGCCACAGAAGCAATGAGCACGACAACAGGTAACTCTACCGATGTAAATATAACTCGATTTGCAGAGACGAAAATGACAGCGAGTGCCGAAGAATCGATGAATGCAACAGTAATGCTGATTCTACAACGAGTCTGTAATCGGAAATCAAGTGGTCTGTTTTCTGTTCCTGCACTAGACTGCACTTAGAACTCTCTTAAAGTCTCTCTTGTTTTCGACAAATATCAAACATCCTTCTCACTTTAAATTAACTATTGGCATCTATCCCCACTCTTCCCCCACCATGAGTTACCAAGTAATAGCGCAAGCCGGAGTCTGGCATCACTGCTTAGGACTACCGACTGTCAACTCGTCGTAAAATCAGCATAAGAAACTTTACTGATGTAAATATGGTTCGGTTTGTAGAGGTCAAACCGATAGCGAGTGCCACAAAAGTGATGAACATGGCAACAGGAAGCTCTGTCAATGATAATAGAAAGTTTTTATTTGGATATCCTAGACCAATAGCGAATACCGCAAAGGCAACGAATGCGGCAGCAAAAAGCTCTACTAATATGTATGGATCATTTGAAGACACCAAAATGACAGCAGGTACCACAGAAGCAATGAATACAACAGCAGGTAACTACCGACCCTGATAGCAAAATGTTAACAATTTGGAGCCAAATTGGCAGCAAACTCGATCAGATTTTGACTACAAAATACACCATAGCCATCTGTGTCTGCATTTGGTTATTTGTTAACAAAGCTTGCTGACAGATAATGCTAACAGATTGGTAGTAGAAATCGAGCAGAGTTTGCTCGAATCAAGTTCTGCTCTCAATCTGCCATCAGATTATGCAAGACTTTGTTCGGTTTCTGCTACCAATCTGCTGGCATAGCATGTCTAGCAGACTTTGTCATATTTCTGACAGCAATTTACTGACAATGTCAGACAATACCAAACTCTGTATACAATTTGTTGTCTTTCTGCAATCAAAAATTGGTAGCAGGCCCTGCTCAAAATCTGTCTCCATAGACTTTGCTATCCAGGGATGTAAATATAATTCGACTTGTAGAGACGAAAACGACAGTGAGTGTCGCAGAGTTGATAAATGCAACAGTAAAGGCTCATCTACATAGAAATCGTAAACGGTTGTAGGGTCTCAAATCGTAAGAAATTGACCAATTCTAGTCGCATTCTCCTTATTAATAATAATAAAAAAGAAAGGCTAGGAGCCAAGCAATAACCTTTTAATATTCAAACAATACATTACATATGTTTCGACGCCGGTCGGGTCATTATTAGTGTGTACATATATATCGGGTCATTATCAATGTGTACATATATATCATATTTAGTGATTCAAGAGTGAATTATTTAAGCATTTAAGATCTAGCTTCGACCGATATAGGGCTCTAATTTATCGATTGTGTTTCTCACATATACGATCTAAAAATGAGATTATTATCATTATCAATGTATTGAAAATAAATATGAATTTTGAACGAGTCATTCTTTAAAAACAAAGATATTGAAGAGATTAAAAATTTACTGTCTATTAAAATCTATTGTATTAATTTCCTGTGTCTTAGTCGATATTCCTGATCGCCAAAGATAGTGCAACCTTGATTTATTCGAAATATTAGTCATTTGCGGAAGTTTCTGTTATAATGCAGAAGCAGGCAAAAATGCGATAGAGTTCCAAGTTTAACATCTAAGTTTAAATAAATTGTGTCTTGGAACTCTATCGCATTTTTGCCTGCTTCTGCATTACATTTTATTAACTGACAATATAATTGCGACTACGATTTTCTTAACTGACACTTTAGGACTTGGCAAAGCTCAAATTTGACTTACATTAAGAACTTAGAATATGATCGATTTCCACAAGTCGAGATTCGTAACAGAAACTTCCGCAAATGATTAATATTTCGAATAAATCAAGCTTGCACCACCTTTAGCGATCAAGAATATCGACTAAGACACAGGAAATGAATACAATGGATCTTAACAGACAGTAAATTTTTAATCTCTTCAATATCTTTGTTTTTAAAGAATGTCACTCGTTCAAAATTCATATTTATTTTCAACACATTGATAATGACCCGATCGGCGTCGAAACATGTAATGTATTGTTTGAATATTAAAATTATTGCTTGGCTCGTAGCCCTCCTTTTTTATTATTATTAATTTATTTTTATTGAGCCATTTTATTACTTATACATTCTCCTTATATTTGATTGTGATTGGTCAGTTTCCTTAAGACCCCACAATCATCTACGATTTCTATGTAGATGAGCCTTAATACGGGATCTACAATAGAAGTAGCGGTCGTAAGGTTCTAAGTCGTAGAAAATTGACCAATCATAGTCAATTATTTCTTCTCATATTCGACTGTGATTAGTTAAATTTCTATTACTTAAGACTCTACGACCGCTACAACTTCTATTATAGAATCACGTAAGAAACTGTATTGATGTAAATATGGTTCGGTTTGTAGAAGACAAAACAGTAGCGAGTACCTCAGAGGCAACGAACGCGACAGCAAAAACCCCTGTTAATATGAATCTGTTTCAATTTGGAAACACTAAAACGACCGCGGGTGCTGCTGAAGCGATGAATGCAGCAGCAAGAAGCTCTACAAATATGAATGTGATTCGATTTGAAGATATCAAAACGACAGCAGATGCCACAGAAGCAACGAATACGACAGCAGGTAACTTTATCGATGTAAACATAATTCGAGAGACAAAAATGACAGCGGGTGCCGCAGAATCGATGAATGTGACAGTAAGAAACTCTATTGATGTTTAATATGGTTCGGTTTGTAGAGGCTAAAGCGGTAGCGAATGCCACAGAGGAGACGAAGGCGGCAGTAAAAAGCTGTGTTGATTATATATTTCAATTTGGAAAGGCCAAAACTATAGCGAGTGCTGCAGAGGCGATGAACGCGACAAGAAACTTTACTGATGTAAATACCATTGAAGGGACCAAGATGGCAGTGGGTGTCCCAGAGGCGATAAACGCGACAAAATACTCTATTGATGTACACATGATTTGGAGAGAGGCTGAATTGTACCGAAGAGAAAAAGAACTTGCTGAGCGAGAGTTAATGTTGGCTCGAAGAGAAATTGAGATGCTTCGACAAGCTCTGATTAATACGGCTACTCGCCCACAAAAAATATGTTGCTGTTTCGAGAAAATATCATTGGAAGATGAAGACTGTAATTTTATCCCAATGGCCAAACAAGATAGGTGCAATTGTAAGCAACGACCGGAGCATAAGGACCGAAGGCATCAACTCTGATCAACATTGTTTTAATTGTGGTCAGCATGATCATTCAGGAGCTGACAAAATACAATGGTGTTAAAGTATTTTAAGTTTTAAGTATAGCGACGGAAGGCATGTTGCTTCGGAATACCTTAAGAAAAATGAAGAAAAAAGAAATAGAGTTATGCCAATTAGAAGTATGAGAGCAGCTATCCTAGCTTTTTTCGTGACAAAATCAAAACTTCTTGTGCTACCGCCATCAACATTTATTTTAATAACTGTGTCCCTACTTGTTTCTCTAAAAGAGTCTAGAAATACGTTCCATGCATACTTGATGTATATTACGCATTGGATATTTTATATTGAGTTTATCTCCTACAAATTTTCAAAGTCTTATTTTGCATATTTCGTTTAATTAGTTGCATTTCATATTTTCAAAGATAACCTTATTTTATTTTTTGCTACAATGTCATTTTCAATTTTTATATAATATTAACGCGTCATTCTTGTCTAAAAAAAAAAAACAAGATAGAAAATGGTAGGATCTGCCAACAATCTTATCGTTTCCTATTGTAATTTATGTCTTACTTTTTATCTTTCAAAAAAGTATTATCATTTCTTATCATTTTCTATCATTATCTAATGAAAGCGAAATCGTTGCAATACGATAGAAATCTTACAATTTATTGTTCTGATAGAATTAATAAATTTTAAAAACTTTATTGTAATCAATTGCGTAATCAATTTATGCTAAAAGAATATATCTTAGCCTTGTATGAAAAACTACTGTTGAGAAGGTCAAAGAAAATGCAACTGGACAGTCTCACTTCGACGGATATCGACGACATGCAAGAGACTTGCATCGTAGAAAAAAAAAATCTTTTCCTTATTTTTTATAATCTTTTTGCCATATTATACTTCGTTAATTTCATATTTTTTATTTAATAATTATCCGATTATATGTAAGTAAGAAGCATTACTTTCCAGATAATGCAGTATTAAAATAATAAAATGTTTTTTCTATGCATCGACAGTTTTACTTTGCGATATACACGTAACTTAAAAATTAGCTTCCCACTTTTCGTCTTATCAAAATAATTTATTCAAAGTTTGCCAATTGCTATCTATTATTGAGGTATATTTATGTATTACAGTATAACTATTTGCATTATTTTAAATATTTTAATATTTTAAATATCTTATGTTAGATTTTTATCTACATGGTGACTATCATTTAGGCAATCTACTTTACAAAATTTACAATTCTCTCATTATGCATCACTCGATATGATCTCAATGAAAATTGAAGATCGTCTTCGAACGTGTGTATTAGAGAAAACAAAATGAACGTTTGACAGTTACGGCGAAAGGGCATTCGAGGAAGGTAACTTTCATTACCTTGCGACGTTCATTACCAGGTGATCAGGCGATCGTCGCGATGCAGACAATTTCTCCAAGCCAATCCGGCTACAATCCAGGGGATTGTCCTGGACGAGGCGAGACTATCAGGAGAACTGCTCACCTGTCTGCTTCCTCGCTCCTCGTAGATGCACTTTCACGTCATTACCAGTTCTCCACGGACGTCCGTGCGCACGATAGTGCACAGTTACAGACTGGTTCGGAGTCCGTAGCAAGGATGTCTCTTTCGTCTCTTCTTAATCCTGTCCCTTATTATTCTCCCGTTCTCATTTACACCTCCTTTTAACGTTCCATTTTGCTGGTCTTTCTTTGATTTTTCTTTATTTCTTCCTATATACATTCAAGTTCTGGTTGGTCCCGTTTTTTCTTTTTCTTTGATTTTCTATTTACAGACTTAAATATCTTTCATTATATTTGTCTTTTTTCGAACTCTCACCATTTATTTTCTTGCTTATGTTAAGATTGTTATATTTTCTTTTGTGCTATTTTCCTTTTTCTACTCGTCTTCGTTTATCCCGCTATCTTTTGTGTGACTTTACACTTTGCTGCTAATTATACTGTGGATATTACAAGCGACAATACATACTGTTCGATGTGTCGGAAGCGCATAACGGCAAATCTTGTGCAGGTGCCCGAGACATTTAAACTATTTAAAGAGATAATCACGCACGGTGTCGCAAGTAAACTGAACTTTTTGATCAGACGTAGAGTTTACGGTAATTTACTCCAACAGTATCTCAAGTCGAGCACGATATAGAATTGTTCTGGAGTGACGTCGAGGTGGATGCACTTTCACATCATTATTATCGGTGCTCTGATCAGCGTACATATGCAGATACAAGTATTTAAACAAGATATTCAAATCTCTTAATGGAGATTATAAATGAAATTAATTCCTTCAATATTATCGCATGTGTAGAGATATGTATTTCGTCGTCAAGTTGTATTTTTTCCAAATATTTTAATAAATCGTTTATTTTTTAGCATATACATATAAAATCAATTTATTAATTACGAATATACAATCAGTACTTCTATCTTCAATATAAGATCGACAAAAAGATTTATATATTTTATGACCCACTTTAATATGAAAAATGGCTTAGAAGTACTTGCTTTGCTTGGAAAGGAAACGAGCCTTGTTGTGCAGAAAGAAATTTTTTGATATACTACATCAAGCAAAGACATTTATATATTAGTGCCAGTTATTTTATTTCAAGGGTAACGAGACAGGTTTTAAAATCAGTGTAATGAAATTAATATGCGTGTTTTTCCGTCGTAAATTCCACATCGGTGAAGCATTAAATTAGATGTATCAAAAAGAAATCAAATATTTGTTTACTTTCTCTCTTAATTAGTCAATTATTTTTACGTCATTACATATTGTTCGATATCAATGGATTAATATTATGACATAGACAGTAAAGTTTAGTATAATCTATAGTTCGTGTTAGAATTTCGGAAAGATTATTGTTTATAATTTTATGCAAATATATTATTATATACAAAAAATCATATATAATTTAAAAAATCATATACATACACAAATATATATTTTAAAACAAACAAGTATATATATCGAAATGTATGCCACAAAAATAATAAGGCTAATGTCATGGGGATATGAAAATTGAAAAGTAATTTTATTTCAAATATATTTTATCTATTATAAGTTTTTTAAATATAAATCACTCACATGCGTAACATCATATTTACGTGTATGATGACTTTTACTACGCAATATTAGCCGATAATATTTTTAGAGTTTACATATAGTTAGAATTGTTTGTTTCTATATCGATTCAATTTTATGTTTAAACGTATCTGCCGATTGCTCTGACTCTATTACGAAAGCAACGGTAATCCGTGCGTCTCTAATGAAACGCAAATACGGTATACTCAAGACACAAATAGAAATCATGATAAACCATACTTAGATAGGAATTCAGCAGTGAAGATTACACTTTACCGTTATAAACCTTTATTCTTTGAATAATATATACTTCATACACAAAAATCTGCACATGATCGATTCTCATCGATGGATTGGTATCGAATGGTATCAATATATGTATGGGACGTCCTAGAATAATTTTTTCACAAGTTTTTCGTTCACAATTTGTATTGCAATTTTTATTGTTTAATGTGTTAAATTATCACATTTGTAGCTATTAATATTGTACGTTATTCTAACTGCAATTGATTAATAATATATGAATTAATTATGTTATATAGATTTAGTAATATATATTAAGTTCTATAATTGGGTAGTTTATTACTTATTAATATTTCTAATTGTATAATCTAATAGAATTAGTATTTCTAATTGTATAATCAGTAATATACAATTGTATTCAATCAAAAAAAATATTTCAAAAGTATATCACTGGGTAAAAGGTATTTGTTAGAAAATTGACGTTCGCGTTATTTCGTTCGCAATTCTGAATATTATTACCGTGCATTATAAAATATCGAAGATTTTAAGCTGAGTCCTACCGTGATTATTTTAAGTCACTTCGAAAATATACCGAGACAAAGAATGTGGAAAGACCAGTTGAAAGAGGCTAAGAGAATATAAAAGATATCACGATAACAAATAACAGACTCACCTTTACCAAGACGGAGACTTAAATCCCAAATCCAGTAGAGCCACCTTCCTCCGCGTAATTGCAGTTCTTGTTCTTCAAAAATTAAGACTTATAGAAGTCGATCACTCTAGCCGAGAAAATTTATGTCGATTGGTTTCTTCATCATACAAAACGTTATCTTCACTTGGAGAACAGAACTACCCTCGGCCGACAGCTGTCCGGAAGTGGCCGCTTCGACGAGCAGACTGATTCTTAACGCGCCTTCCGTACTCGAAGAAACATGGCTCGAGGGACAAGCCTCCTTTCCTCGTGTCGCATTAAGAAACAACCGTTAACGCGGGATACGCAAGTCTTCGAAGCGATCGTGGTATATAACGCCGTGCGAGAGTCGACCAACGATTGATGACCCAAGCGACGATGCTGTATGTGGAACCCTTCTCCAACCAGAAGAGAAGAGAAACGAAAAGAAGAAAACGAAGACGGTCTTGCAACAAATTGTGCGTGTCGACGTCGCGTAACGTCTTATCTCGGGACACAGTAAATGCTCTCGCCGAGATTGGCAAGTGAAAGTCTCGCTGAAATTATTTTCCTATAGCATATTAACATCAAAGTGAACGATCCTTAATATCGATATGATATGACCGATGACTGTATTCGAGTATCCCGTCATTTACGAAACATTCATCGACGTTTCAATTTATAAACTATTTCGATGCTCTCTTGAAAAATAGATTGATATTACTTGTGTTTAAAAAAATTAGTTATAATTTATTTAGATTTATACGTTAAGAAATTTATTACAAAATTTATTATTATATGAAGTTACGTAATTATTACCTAAATTCGATCTAGTGAAAAAAAAAAACAATAATTGCGGTTTCTATAAAATGGTCATTCATTTTAGACAATTGTACTGTAATTACTTCTACCAAAACTGATTATAATCATATCTCTACAGTTAGCATAATTTGATTTCCATTATAAAAACAGAAGCAAAGCATTGGTCGCTTAATTGTTGTTTATTTGTATAGACAATTAAACGATACATATACATGTGTGTACGAATTACATGTGTTTTTCTTAATTCTAATACATCGATATAATGTTTATATGTTCGGGTGAATGATCATATTAGGCGATTACATACAGGCGATATATTTTTTTGGGTCGATATGGATTAGCGCGAATGTTTCATTTTCCGTCTGACGAAACGAACGTGGACTATAGGAAGATGTCAACTATAGCGCGACTAACCGATTTTTTATATTCGAGAGTGATTTTTCGCGGACCGACAGACGGTCGAGAC